GGTTTAATTTTTCCATAAGAAATGAAAAACAATTGAATTAGCTTTTTTAATATTGTTAGATACATAAAGGTGTGGCAGGGCTAAATTATTTTAAATATACCTTCTGCTTTAAAGCAAACACCCTGAGGCTCTTTACATAGTGGCTGGAGACTTTAATCATATGAATCTCCAGCCACTATGTAAAGAGCCTCCCATGTGGCCATACCAACACGTGGAAACAACACGCTGGACTGTGTTTACACGAATGTAAAAGATGCCTACAAAGCCGAACCCCGCCCCCACCTAAGATTCTCTAATCACATCTCATTCTTCCTGGCTCCTGCTTACCTGCCCTTGTTGAGACGCTCCAGATTGGTACAAAAGAAAGTTAAATCTTGGATCCACAACAGTGTCCCCATACTGATTGTTTTGAACAAATAGACTGGGAGGTCGTCAGAGAAGCTGCTGAAAATGGGGAGGCACTAAACCTGGACCAATACACATCCTCAGTTCTAGGGTTCTCTAGTAAATGTACTGATGACGTCACCACTATAAGTTATGTTAAAAATTACCCGAACAGAAAACCTTGGCTGAATGCAGAAGTTCACACCCTACTGGAAGCCAGGAACACTGCCTTCAGGTTTGGAAAATCACAGGAGCTGAGAAGGACAAGGAAAGAGCTGGTTGCTGGTATTAAGAAGGCCAAGGCCACATATGCACAGAGAACTGAGGGTTAATTCACCTTACAAGACCCAAGGAGCATGTGGAGGGGCATTAAGTGTCTAACAGATTATAAAAGCAGGAGTGAACAATGCCCTAGCGACCCATCACTGCCTTATGCTCTCAACAAGTTCTACGCACGCTTTGAAGACCCGAACAGACCACCCAGCACCAGACTCACCTCACCACCAGATGAAGAGCTTCTCAGTGTGACATCAGCAGAGGTAAGGAGTACTTTCAGGAGGCTTAACCCTCACAAGACAACCGGCCCAGACAACATCCCTGAGAAGGTATTGAAAGATTGTGCCGATCAGCTTTGCGAGATGCTGGCCGACAGCTTTAACTCCTCACTTACTCTGGCGACAGTTCCCACCTGCCTGAAGATTGCTACCATCATCCCAGTCCCAAAGAACTCTACAGTGACTGGTCTGAATGAATATCTGTTTAGAATCAGAATCAGAACAAGTTTTATTATTATTGTACCGGGATACAGTGAAATTATGTTCATACAGTCGTCTGAAAGATGGGCGGAGTGCACGTTACTGCTGCTTAAAATGTCTTTAGGCAACAAAATAGAAAGGACAATGCCAAACTCATGAGAAAGTGCTTTCAAGGGGTCAGATGAAAGTTTTGTTGATGCGCAGGAATCAGTATTCTTAGTCCTTAACATGTTACGGACATCTTAACATGTTTGGTGCAATAGCCATTTGCCACTTTAGAACCAAACACACATGGTGACGACAGGATCTGAGAAGCCCGGTGTGTTATTAAAGGGGCAGCTACTCTGGGTTAAACCTTTTTTCTCTATGATTACACAACCTTCTTTCAGGAATGCTCTTCCACTTTTTCATGGAATCCTGGACCAAAGGCCACAATTAGCTAAGAGCCTCCCAGTCTTCTTGGAGAAGTCTTCTTTGATGCAAATGTGCACCTCTCTGCAGACCCATGAATCTCTCTATTTTTTCAGACATCATCCTGAAGGGTTCTCATGCCAAACTGGATTATTACTGCCGGTGGTACATTCGAAGAAGCAATGTTGCCCTTCAGACCCAGACGGTGAACTGTATCCAGATCAGTCAGCCTCAGATTACGTCTTCTTTTGTAACGGGCTTGCTCCTCACAGGAACGTTTTAGCAACTCATTGATTTTCTTCTGGAGTGTCCCTATCTTTTCCTTACGCTCATAAAAATTAGCTTTGATGCGTTGTTCAAAACTTTTCAAAAATTCAGTTTATCCATTTTTTTAGTTTAAGGTTTGCACTGCATGAAGAATAGAGGTCATCCTCCCTTATATTGTTACACTGAGTTTCCTTTTTCTTTGGTTTTGGATCTTTCATGGGTGAGTGGTGGGATCTGTTAACTTTACAACCCTTTGACGAGTCGTCCATTTCAATTTCTTCCATCACATTATTGTCACAATTCTCTCGGAGAGCAGCTACGTTGTAGACATGGTCAGACGTTATCACATGCATGCTTCAGAGGATTCAATGGTTTTTGTTTTTTTACCCCTATCAGGCACTACAAAGTCCAAAAAACAGTATTGAATACTTTCTACAGAGGCTTTAGAAATGTAGTGTTAGGTTACTGACAAAACGTGTGCAAATCAGGAACAAACGAAGATTATTTCCACTGAAGCTTGCAATATTTCTGCCTGTCACTCTGCTATCTTGAACATTGACTTTGATCATCTGTAAAGGTTAAAATATTTGCTGTCTCCTAATGCCAGGTTCGGGTTAGGTTTATTTGTCATATGCAAAATCAATACAAAGGTCAACAATGCAATGAAATGCTTAGGACGAGAAAAAAACGTCTCGACTTACCAAAAAAAAAAAATCAAGAAATACCAAAGCATGCAGCAAAAATACTAAAAACATCCTAAGAAATACTACTAAAATATTAAAAAACAAGGCACCAAAATTTAAAAAGAAATGCATCTACAGAGTGATTCAGTTAGCAGTGAGGTTCTTTCAACATCATGGTTCTGTTCTGTTAGCAGCATGGTCTTCTTAGCAGCTTAGCAGGTCTTGTTAACAGGTCCGGTCAGCAGCTTGATGGTATTAAAGACCTAAGCAGCTGCCCTCACAGACCGCAGTCCAGAACTGGGTCCGGCAGACACAGAACATCCAAGATTTCTTCGTGTAACCGAACGGGTTTGTAGAGTTCAGTCTGTGCAGGCAGATGGAGGATCTTGTTAGCAGCGTTAGCAGGCCCTGCTAGCAGCTTGATGATAATAATGACCACAGCAGCTGCCCTCGCAGACTGCCTTCTAGAACCGAGTCCAGCAGACAGAGAACATCCAAGGATTCCCCGCGGAGTCGAACAAGTCCGTGGAGTTCGGTCCGTGCAGGCAGATGGAGGATCATGGAGACGACCACCATGACAGGCCAGAGCCTGAGCCCGAGCGCTCTCATCAATGTGGCCATACTGATGAGCTCCACTAGACAGCAGTGTTTTATTTAGTTTCTATGTAGTGGTGCCCAACTGAAAATCAGTCAAGTCAATTTATTTATATAGCACCAAGTCACAACAGAGGTCATCTCAGGGCACTGAACAGAAATATTCATATACATGAAAAATAAGTTAATAACATTATTTATCTGAGGAGCCAGCAAACTGCTTTAAGTCTTAACTTGGTTGCAGACTCAGCCGCATGCAGCCAGCTATGAATCAATGTTTTTTGAGGTGATGAGGATTTCTTCAGCCTGCATGTGGACCTACGGTTTTATACCAAATCTTTACATGTGCACAAAGCAAGGGTTTTTTTCTACTTCCCAGCCAAACTAAAATCTTTTTTTTAATGAGATAAGAGACTTATGTTTGCAGGAACTGGCAACCAAGAAGGAGGTGCCTTTACTGAGTGAGTTGCAAGCAACATTTCAACATCTCCCACTTGTGAAAGTGGAGACTGGGCTAATACAAGAATCGAATATGGAGGCATAAATGTAAATAATAACACAATGGCTAACGTAATCAATTATTTTATAATATGATAAATATGGAATGAAATAAATCATTTATAATACATTTTGATATGGTTGATTTTTTTTTGGCCCCCAGTGGAATTCTAGAGGATAATAAAGTGAAAGGAAGTTTATGGGAGCATCTCAATCGATTCTGACTAAATAAAAAAATCAATATATATACTTTTTTCTTCCGATTATTATTTTTATTTAATAATGTATTTATTTTTTTTAGATCACAATTCAGAGGGACAGTGACCTGGATGTATCAACCCCAAAACATGGCAAGATTGATCCACACAACGCTCCTCACGTTGGGGGAAACCAGTGGGCAGGAGGCACAGGTAACAGGATGATCCCACTGCATCTGAAATATGGACACGTTCCACCCATGACGTGATGTTATCAGTCATCATCTATCATTGTATAAGGATTTTCATGGTACAATGCAATGAAGTGTACTTTTACTGCATTTAAACAATATTTTATTTAAAACATCAGTAAATCAGAATATTATTAGTTTGTAAAATATAT